GTAGCATATTTTCATAATCTTCAGTTCAATACTCAGCAATGGGAAATTCTTTCAAGTTATTGCGAGTTTATCTGGGTTGCGTTGAGGGACTTAAGAGTGAACTGTCCTCTCACTTCACTTTCCTGACTCTTGTGTCTTTGAGGTTTCCATAAAGCTGAGACCACACCTTCCTGAATTTCTAGAAGCCCTGGCCAAAATCTATGAGGTAAGTCCTCTAACCACAATTAAATGTGATCTGTGCTGAATTGAATATGATGCAGAAGATCTGTAGAAGATGGCTAGGGATTCAGGAAGGGACCACAATCCAGAGACAGGACGTGGGTCTTCCTAGCAAAAGAATCCCAAGTTCAGGTTCCATGCTAGGCTAAAAGACAATGAAGCTGGGTTCCCAAGGTTTATTTAACTTTGGCATGGTCACGGTTGACCACGATTGCACAAGAAGCTAAGCCATGGCTCATGAATCATCCAGTCAGAGCTGAAGAAGCGCCTTGTTGCCCACCTCCAATCAGAGCCTGACCTAAAATAATCCTCAAAATTGTTTTTATAGGCAAAAGAGTAGTTGGAAATTCTCTCTGGATCACCTGCTGAACGATTTTGGCTCAAATTCTTCAGCTAACCCTTAAAGCCGATGAGAAGAGGTTGAGGAAAGAAATTGGTTACAATCAATCATCCGTAACAATGTCGAAGGATTACTTTGAATGTTCCACAACTTGCTAAGAAAGCCTTCTTGCTATTTCTTTTTAGATTTTTGTGTTTACTACTGCCAAGCAAGATTATGCGGATCAAATGTTGAAGGTCCTTGGACCCCAGAGGAAGCTAATCAGGTGATGAAGGCTTTGGAACAAATTCCGGGGCAAGACAAGACTTGAAGAAAGTTGAATTTCTTGGCTGCTCTTAAATTGTTGATTGTTCTTCCTTTGTGCTGCCCGTCCTCAGCTCTTAAGTACCTTATAAGCTGGTGGTACATCAGCACTCCTGATGGCTGACAAGGGGCCCGTTTCCCAGTGCTTTAATCATTTCCCTGGCTATTTTTGTCCTTACTCAGCCAACAATCTTAGTAGCTGCAAAGTTGAATGCATGCCCTTGTTCATTGCAATGGGAGCTACCAATGAGTTTATCTTCTTTTCTTGTTTTCTTCCAAGGCACCAGCTATATCAAGAGGACTGTTTTTGTAGCCATGGTTCCTATGTAAAGGACCTGTCAGTAGTGGAAAGAGATCTAGACAGGACTGTGGCAGTTGCAACTTACCTGCAAGCATTTCCCTACCAGGTGATGCTCAGGTGTGGTACTCCAACATGACATGAGGGGATATTGTTCCATAGCAAGCCATCCCATGGAGTTCTCTAGCTTGGGACAAAATACTTTGACCTGGAAACGTTCCCTTCAGGGTCTCTGGTAGATGTTTTCTCCATCAACCAGTCTCTATTTTTTTTATATAATGAGGAAGGTGTGTCCTGATTGAATGTGAACCTGGATCCCTTGGGTTGAATAAAATGCTTTCAAATTGGTGGTTGACAACATTTCAAAAGTCAGGGCTAGCTGTTAATAATTTAGAGCAGTGTTTTTTCAACCTTGGCAACTTTAAGATGTTTAAAACTTCAACTCCAAGTGCCGGCTGGGGAATTCTGGGAGTTGAAGTCCACCCATTTTAAACTTGCCAAAGTTGAAATGTAGGATCCTTGTTGTTCTCCAAGCTTAGTAGTTTTCTTGCAGACATTTCATGACCCAGCTAAATAACATCAACAGTGCACTGATGCGTAATGAAATGTCTGCAAGGAAACAACCAAGTTCTCCTCCTCTATAAACCCCTCTCCTTTCTAGCACTGATGACGTTACCTAGTTGGGTCATGAAACGTCTGCAAGAAAACAACCAAGCTTAAAGAACACCAAGGACCCCACAGTCCTCCTTCCTCCTCCTCCTCCTCCTCCTCCTCTTCCTCCTCCCCCTCCTCCTCCCCCACTTCCACTTCTACTTCTAGTTCTCTTCTCCACTCTATAAACCCATTCCAGCACTGATGATGTTACTTAGTTGGGTCATGAAACGTCAGCTACCTGCCCAAACATTACAACGTTTGAGAGCTTCTGATTTATGCTTGGCCTCAAATGAATGTTCTTGTCTCTCCATAGATGTCCAATGTGGTAGTGGTCCCTAAATGGGAGGGCGATTCTCCAGACAAAGAATTGCTTCGCCTCATTCCCATGCTCCAAACTATTAGTCAGGCAGTAAGTAAACGACTTTGTATCAATCCGAATGAATGGAGAAGCCACAGAGCTGAATGGATAAAGTGCTTAAGAGCGGCGAAATCATATACTAAAAAGTTTCCAGCTTTTTATTAATGCTTCCCGACCTCTTAACTGGAAACTTCAAATGGAATCGTGATTAAACCCACCAGCAGACGGCTATCCACCTTTTTTTTAAAAAAAAAAACTGAACAAGAATGGTTATCGCTTTAGGCTGATGGTGCCAGTAATGAATTGATTGAATGGAAAGACGTGTCTGCTTTAAAAACAGTCTAATCTTTCAAAATGAAAGATAAACCAGGGTGAAAGGACTTAAAATGACTGTAGGCCCGGGGTGTCCAACCTTGGTAACTTTAAGACCTGTGGACTTCAACTCTCAGAATTCCCCCAGCCAGCCAGCCAGGGAATTCTGGGAGTTGAAGTCCACAGGTCTTAAAGTTACCAAGGTTGGACATCCCTGCTGTAGCCAGTAATATTGGGAACTGAAATTTTACTTTCCATGTTGCGTTTACAGGTTGACATTCGCACTGAAATAGAGAGAAAACATCGTGGCCGCGCGAAAGTTCAGCATTAATGCCTGCTTCCATTATAAGTCTCCTCTTCAAAGTTGACTTGGAACCTCCAGACTTTAAATCATAACCTAGTTTTGGATATTTTGGGCAAGCTATTTTGGGGTACCCGTTTCATTTCTGTTGCTTTGAAATAGATAGAAATGCAGGGACCGATTTAATCAGTTTTTTACCAATTCGAGGAAACGATGGATGCTCAAAACATTTTTGTTTTTGAATGGAGAGAAAAACCAATATGGTCCCATCCACTGTGTAGATGCACATACTTCTCCCGTTTGCAATGTAGGTTGTTGAGGTGCGCTTGAAGGAGCATCTTCCAACTTTCTAGATTTATTTCTTGGCTTCTGCACATGCACAAAGCAGACATAAATAGAAGGTTCCTGAGCCATCAAAAAGTTTGCATGTGATGTTATTTTTTAAGAGGCCGGGCTTTGCAGAAGAAATTCTTTGTCTTAAAAGATTTCTTTTGTGTTTTATTTCTAGCATTCTCTTTCCACCCAAAGAGCAATTTAATGCACGAGCAATAAAATGAATTTTGTCTTCAGCTTATGCATTTTTACTACGCTAACCCTTCTATTCTCTTTCAATCTGAGCCTTCATTCTTTTCTCTGCGAGGAAGTAATACAGGCATTTCTCGTTTAGTGACCGCATCGTTTAGCAACTGTCTCATTTAGCAACCACATTTACGACGGGGATGAAAAAATAACTTTACAACCAACCCTTTTATTGACTGTCTTTGCAGGTCTGTGAAGCAAAGGAAAGGTGAGGTCGGATCGTGAGCAAAGTTGCATTATACTTAATGTAAATAAGCTCTCCGAGTAAACCAGACAGGAAACATGACCAGTTGAGTTAAATCTACTTTATTATTAAGGCTGTGTGAACAGAATCTTGCAAGTCTGCAAGAATAAAATTCCTGCCGCCAGTTTTAATTGCAGAGCAGGTCTTTCCTAAATTTCTTCCTCTAACCGTTAAGCATCTGCGGGCTCCTCCGTTTCTTATCTACCATCCCTAGATAGAAGCATCTCTTTCCCTCGTCCCCCAAGGCCATCCACACCTTCCCTTTACACCTAGCAACAGCTTCACTTAATGATCAAATCGCTGGTCCCAATGGTGCTTGCTAAATGAGGACCACCTCTACTCTTCCGTGGATTCTTTGACCCTTTTGGAACAATGAAATTGGAAGGTGTGTGTGTTTGTGTATATGTGTGAACTGTGGGGCCCTTGGTGCTCTCCGAGCTAGGTTGTTGGCTTGCAAACCTTTCATAACCCAAGCTAGGTAACGACGTCAGTACTAGAAGAGAGTGGGAGTTATGGAGTGAAAGAGGAGGAGGACCAGGATTGTGGGGTCCTTGATGCTCTCTTGAGCTAGGTTGTTGGCTTGCAAAAGTTTCATAACCCCAAAGTTTTGTTAGGGCTAGAAGAGAGTGGGAGTTATGAAGTGGAGGAGGAGGAGGAGGAAGATGGTGGGGTCCTTGGTGCTCTCCGATCCAGGCTGTTGGCTTGCAGACCTTTCATGACCCAACTAGGTAACACTGTCAGTGCTAGAAGCCAGTGGGAGTTATGGAGGAGGAGGAGGAGGAGGAGGAGGAAGATGGTGGGGTCCTTGGTACTCTCCGATCCAGACTGTTGGCTTGCAGACCTTTCATGACCCAACTAGGTAACATTGTCAGTGCTAGAAGCCAGTGGGAGTTATGGAGAGGAGGAGGAGGAGGAGGAGGAGGAGGAGAAGGAAGATGGTGGGGTCCTTGGTACTCTCCGATCCAGGCTTGCCTTGCAGACCTGTCATAACCCAGCTAGGCAACATCAGGGGCTGCACAAGATTCACCCCTCCAGATGTTGCAGCACCTCCCTCTCCCAGCTGCGCAGGGCTGAGAAGCCACCTGAGAACTGCCCAGCCCTGGCAGAGCCCAGGTGGACCAACCCACCTGCAGGAACCGCCTTGGGGAACCCCAGCAAGCCCACCTGGACTGGCCACTGCCCAGGGTTGCAAGCCATTGGAGTCCCTGAACCCTCCCCCCCCCCACACACGGGATGGATATTGGGGGGGGAGGGCTCCTCCTTAGCTCCACCCCCCCCGTCCGAACTACATTTCCCAGGGCGCTTGGCGGGCGGGGCGGGGCGGGGCCTGAGCCCAGCTGGCTGCTCCGAGCAGGAACTCGCCCCGCAGCTCCGGCGGGGAGGCTGCCCGACATGCCTCTGCTGGTGGAGGGGCGGCGGCTCGACCCGGCCCGGCCTCTCCGGGAGCTGCTGCGCGCCTTCCCGGAGCTGGAGGTGAGTGGGGGGGGCAGGGGGGCGGAGCTCCCGCGCCCAGGTGAGGGCAGGCGACCGCCGCTGCGGGGCTCAGGTGCGCGGGGCGGGCAGGGTGTGTGTGGCTGTCTTGGGGGCTTTGAGAACCTCGCCCGGGGGGGTCCCCTCCCGGGCTAGGCTGCAAACTGAGGGGGGTCTTTCTCTTGTGCAAAGCGGGGGGGAGTCCCTGGGGCAGGCGGGACTGGGGATCCCCCCTGACACCTGGAAGGGGAACCGAAGTGGGTGGGTGGCAGGTATTTCCCTGCCTGCCTCCCTCCCTCCCTCCCTCCCTCAAGCTATGTTTTTGCCCCACCTGCTAAGCCAGCATTTCTCAATCTGGGTAACCTTGAAGAGATGTGGACTTCCAATTCCCAGAATTCCCCAGCCAGCATGCTTTGAGCGATATGTGGACTTCAACTCCCAGAATTCCCCTAGCATGCTTTAAGCCAGAGGTAGGCAAACCTTGGCTCTTTTATGACTCGTGGACTTCAACTCCCAGAATTCCTGAGCCAGCATGGGGGAACTATGGTCCCTTCATGACTCGTGGACTTCAACTCCCAGAATTCCTGAGCCAGCATAGGGGAACTATGGTCCCTTCATGACTCGTGGACTTCAACTCCCAGAATTCCTGAGCCAGCATAGGGGAACTATGGTCCCTTCATGACTCGTGGACTTCAACTCCCAGAATTCCTGAGCCAGCATAGGGGAACTATGGCCCCTTCATGACTCATGGACTTCAACTCCCAGAATTCCTGAGCCAGCCATGGCTCATCTTGGAAACCTCCCCCTTTCCCCTCAGCATGGCTGGCTCAGGAATTCTGGGAGTTGAAGTCCACGAGTCATAAAAGAGCCAAGGTGGCCTACCCCTGCTTTAAGCGATATGTGGACTTCAACTCACAGGATTCCCCAGCCAACCTGCTTTAAGAGATGTGGACCGACTCCCAGAATTCTCCAGCTAGCATGCTTTAAGAGATATGTGGACTTCAATTCTCAGAATCGGAATGCTGCCTGAGGAATCCTGGGAGTTGAAGTCCACACCTTTTAAAGTCGCCAAGGTTGAGAAACACTATGCTAAGCCATAATGGGACTTACTGCGGTGGCCGAGTATTTTGCATGGTCTCAAGCCCTTATGGCTGCAAACCCTGATTTGTGGGTGAACATAATGCCTAGATCCACGTGATTGGACCTTAGTGGGCTAGGAACATCCCAGGATGGAGAGCGAGGTAGGCATACCATCCTGAGGAGTCATTGTGGGTCTTGTGTATGGTATAATAAACTTGGGGAGAGCTAGTTTGGTGTAGTGGTTAAGGCAGCAGGCTAGAAACCAATGTTGGCTTAGCTTGAGGAACTAAGGCCAACTTTTGGCCTTAGTTCTTCAAACTAAGAGGAATTGGCTAACTTTTCAGGAATCTTCATAAAGTGTCCTCGCACCTCCTGGGATCCAGACTCATTCCCTATTCTCATAATTGATTCTTGCTTATATGTTTGTGGGAATAAACTGGTACACTTGAAGCAATTCCCAGTTTATGTGAAGCTTTGTTTGGTTTCCAGATCTTGGAAGAGGCGTTAGCTATGTTTCTTACTTTGGACGCCCAGATCAGAGAATTTTTGATAGCTGCTTTGCTGAAGCTGTGTTGTGTGTAACCCATGTGCCCAGAGATCTGTACAAACAAAAACTCTTGTTCCCCAATCAGGAGCAAGCCAAACAGTTCCGCAGCCAACCTGCTCAAGCGGTGGGACCAAAAGGACTTCTCTATGTCCAGCAAAGAGAATTTGCTGCTACCACGTCCAAAGATGGTAGGTGGACTTTGAGGGAGTATAAACCTTAAGTTCAAGAGAAGACAGCCAAGATCTTACATGATGTTCTCCTGCTTTCTTGATAGGTTCCGTTTCCATTCTTGGCTCAGACGATGCTACAACGTGCCATTTTGTGGTCCTGAGACACACAGGTGCTGCCATAACTGGATCCCATGCTCTATAATTAGACATTTATAAAGTTTGAGGTTGCTGGTTTAGAACTGGAACACGAGCTTTATGGAAGTCTTTGAGACAGACTGAAGTTCTGTCCTCTTGGCTCCAGTGTTTAGAAGAAGCACAACAGAAACCCACAGATCTTGTCACAACCGGCCATAACCCCAGTGTCTTCCAGTTGAGCGATCTTCAGCTCTTCAAAAATCCTTTGGCTCATATGTCTCTCACCTGCGCTTTGATAAGTCAGTTCTAAATAGAGAAATGTTCTTTACAGTTATAGTTGTCCATAAGATGCAAATTCTCATATTATAATTATTTTTAGGGAGTGGAGCAATTTGTCTAACTCACTGTGATGGATCAGATACCGAAACAGAAGTTCTGCTGGTGATAAATGCAGTAAAAGTGCTTTCTCCAACCACTGACTGTGGAAGGTCAGTTTTTTTTTTTTTAAATAGTTCTGTTAAATAATCTGGTGAAAAGTTGGGGCTTCATACTTCTCAGCTGCTTTCTACCTCTTCAGCATAATAGTTAAATTCAGGTAGTCCTCAAATGCTAAACCATTTGTTTAGCGAACATTCGAAATTACAGCAGCAGTGAAAAAAATTATAAACGCTTCTCGCACTTAAGGCCATCACATCATCCCCATGGTTGTGTGATAAAAACTAGGATCCTATGGCTATAAGTCAAGTACTTATTTATAAATAACAGAATGTCCCTGATAGGCATTCTATATTGTAGTTACTTACCCTGGACCAGAATAGATTCATAGTGAAAAATATGGTAATAATAATAAACAGGTAAACTTTTAACAAACAGGTGAACTTTTAACATTCAGCCTATTAATTTGAATTCAGTCCAAAATTGATTGAAAAATTGAATGAATGTTTCTGGATGGTGTGTCTGCTAGGTTGGAGTTGCATCTGATTGGAGGTTTTTGTGACGACCGGCGCCTGTCTCAGCGTCTTACCAGTCAACTCTTAAGTAAGTTTGTGTTTCGGTTTTGCTGGGGTCTTTGTGACATTTTGAGGTTCTCGTTGAAGTAGAATAAAGTTGGCCAGTTGCGTGAGCTAGTGGGAATTTTGTGGACTCCAGAGCACCCCCCCCCCAAAAAAAAAACAGATTTCTGCTTTAGGACAAGGGCTTACATGATGTAGGTTGAAATGAAGGGAGCCAATTATATTTATGGAGGAGAAGAGGTCTGTTGGTGGTGACTCATGTTGATACCTACAGAATATATGATACCATCGGTAGGAAGAGTACAATGCTGGACTGTTAGTCTTGGGTCAAAATTCCTCAGGATAATTTCCTTGGAACGGATTGGTTGATTAGGTTTTTTGTTCAGATAGAAACTTCATGTCCTATGGAGTCTTGATTCAGAAATGGATTAATGGTAGTGGGCATAGGGGGGGCAGTTGTCCTAGATGAGAAGCTATGGGGTTTGTTATCTTGATAAACCCAGTTTGGAAACAGAGTGGAGCTCTTGAAGTATTTGAATAATGAAATCATCTTTCATTGTAGTTTATCTATATATTTTTCCCCCTGGGTGTATGAATTCATGATCTTTCCTTTTGTGTTCTTAGGAGCGTTTGACCGTCTGCTAGATAATGTTTATTTGATGACATTCTGTGTCACAGGTAATTATATATATATGTCTTTGACTTAATTGTATTGTCTGAATCAGTTTACAATGCAACCCACTTATGTTCTGAAATTTGGCCATAAACTTTACAATCCTGGGGTCAGCGGAAAGTCCATAAAGCATTGTCAGAATTTCATAAAAACATGACTTATTTTAATCTTGGTCAAATAAACCAACTTTACATTCCTTCTTTTTACTTACGAAGAGCTTAATAATTCATTCATTCAAATGTTATTGTCGGATTTGATCTCCCTTCAATTCTTCTTTGTCCCATTGCAAAGGAAAATTATTTTCTCAACAAGGATTAGCTAAAGGATGGATTAAATCTACGAGCTAATTTTGCCCACCCCCTCTAAATTTCTGGGTGTGCTCAAGGACCCTTAAAAATACTAGCAAGCTATTGGTATACGGTCAAAACTGGAGGAATAAAGGAATTCCAACAGAAGAAGAGATTTTATATAAAATTTTATTGTGTGCTGAAATGGATAGGCTCACAATGGAAATGAAGGATAAGACAAAATCAGACTACTTTGAAATCTGGGACAAATTTTATTACTGGTATGAATTAAGGAGAACTGCTTGGTCTTCAAGCTAGTGTTAAGACAGAAATACATATAACTGTATATATTATTGTATTGTATAGAACAGTGATGGCGAACCTTTTAGAGACCGAGTGCCCAAACTTCAACCCAAAATCCACTTATGCATTGTCGGGTGCCGGGTGGGTGTGGCCCATTGGGTGGGCGTGGCTGCGGTGGTAACAGCAGACTGGGTGGGACTAAAAAGTTCAATCAATCAATTCCAACTTTGCAAGATCTTTTTTTTCCCCGCAAGTTGAAATTGACTGATTGATTTAACCTTTTTTTTTTCTGCACACCGCAGCGGAGGCCTAAAGCGAAAAGGTTTTACAAAACCCAGCTGAAGGCCTAGGACTGGGGCGATGGCGCGCGTGCCCACAGAGAGGACTCTGAGTGCCGCCTCTGGCACCCGTGCCATAGGTTCGCCACCACTGGTATAGAAGAATAAGTTTATTTAGAGATTAAGAATGATGTATTAATTATATGTATTAAGAGGAACAAATTGTTAGGAATATTTATTCTGGAATGTCACGTTATGTCCATTTTTGTTTTAACTGTATTATAAATAAAAAACTTTTTAAAAAAAAATACTAGCAAGCTGGAATTCGTAATATGGCAGAAGGGAAAAATTAATTAATGCATGGAGAGGAGTCATACTCATTGTATTTGACTGACTTAATATAATGTTTGTGAAATTTAAATATAATCAAGTTTAGGTTTTTCCTCTCCTGGTTTAACTAAATATCTTTATCTTGGTTCTGTCTTCTCCTTTTGTGAGGATATTCTCTATCAAATCCAAAATGTAACCGCCAACTGGAAAAACAACGCACTCTATTCTGAAGTGACCCAGCTTTGCCATGTTTTCCAATTTATCGCTTTTTTTGATAAAGTCAATTTCTGTGTGTTTATTTCAGAACTGAATGACCGCCAGGAAAATGGCAGGCATTTGCCATATATTTATGGAATTGGTGAGTTAACACTTCTTGCATTTGAGGTCAGGATTAAAAACTGTGGTTTACACTTGTGAGATTGGGTATGCCACCTTAATTTTTTTTTTAATGGCTCATTAAGATACCAATGAATGCAAATAAAAGATGCATGTTTTGTTTAACACTTAAAGAGAGGCAGTTTCACAGGTTTTCCTGTCAATCAACTCTCTCTGTCCTCCAGAAGGATCTTAATTTCTTATTGTGTGGCTCCTTCCCTTTCAGCTGCGAATGTTAAAACTGGTGAGATTTTCCACGCCACGTTTCCAGACCGAGGCCCTGATGAAGACATGCGGTCTGCCAGGGTCTTAGCAGGAGCAAAGGTTAGCAACGATTGTACGAAAGGATGAGGAAGGGAACAACGCTTAAAGATAAAACGTAGAAGAGAATATAGTAGCTAGGCAATGAATTACGGAGTTCTTGATATTCTCTAAGCATGGTTGTTTGCTTGTAGACATTTCATTACCCAACTAGCTATCATCAGTGTGAGGAACGGTGGGTGGGTGGGTGAGTGGATGGTTAGATAGATAGATAGATAGATAGATAGATAGATAGATAGATAGATAGATAGATAGATAGATAGATAGACAGACAGACAGACAGACAGACAGACAGACAGACAGACAGACAGACAGACAGACAGACAGACAGACTGACTGACTGACTGACTGACAGAAAGACAGAAAGACAGAAAGACAGATGAGAGGATGAGAGAGAAGATAGAGATAATATAGACACAGACAGAAAGACAGATGAGAGGATAGATGAGAGAGAGAAAATAGAGATGATATAGATAGACAGACAGATATAGACAGAGACAGAGACAGAGACAGATGATAGATATGATTAGATAGAGATAGGCAGGCAGGCAGACAGACAGGCAGACAGGAAGACACAGATAGAAAGACAGATGAGAGGATAGATGAGAGAGAGAAGATAGAGATGATATAGATAGACAGACAGATATAGACAGAGACAGAGATAGATGATAGATATGATTAGATAGAGACAGGCAGACATAATAGCTTGCCCTGCCATTATTGGCATGTGGTTTTCTCCTGGGAGAAAACCGATGGGAAAGTTGGAGCAGGGAACTTAAATGAACATAAATAAGAATCAGAGAAAGATATAAATGGGAAGTGGCAGTACCATGGGGCAGGATTAACACGGCATCTGGTCCTGCCAAGTAACCACTGTTTGTGCTGCTGCTCGCTCCTGTTTGGTCTGCAATAACCTGCTGAAATTGTATCATCTCTTGTAGATGATCAGCATTTACGACCCGAAGAAGGAACAACTTTGCATTGGGCCTTACTACTGGATGCCTTTCCCCCACGTGGATTTCTGGTTGGAGCAGAGCAACCAGAGCATCTTACAGGTAACTGGAGTTTGTCAAGGACATCAGGGACCCCAGCTGGAGAAAGCGAGGCTGAAAGATTGCTGAGTTCATATTTATGTTAAGAACTACTGTGGGATCCTTGGTGCTCCCTGGTTATTTCCTTGCAGACGTTTCATTACCAAAGTAGGTAACATCATCAGGGCTAGAAGGGAATGCGGTTTGCAAAGGGGAGTCAGGAGAGAAGGAAGGGGAGGTGGAGGAGAACTGTGGGGTCCTTGGTGCTCTCTGAGCTTGTTTGTTTTCTTGCAGATGTTTTGTGACCCAACTAGGTAACATCATCAGTGCTAGTAAGGGAGTGGGGTTTGTTCTCTGTTTATATACCTGTGACCTGCCCTGTCAGAGTTGGTGGGCAATGAAACATTGGCAAGGAAAAAAAAAAAAGCCAAGCTCAGAGAATTCTCATCAGTCAAGTTGTTGTGGCTCCGTCTTGTGAGCCCCTCTTATCGGAGGAAGAAGGCTCCGAACATGAAGGAGAGGAGATGGCCAGGCCTCCCTCTCCAGGACCCTCCTCTTTGGCAATGCCTCAGGTGTCTCCCGACGGAGAAGAGATTGACCAGGAGCCAGGTGGTTCTGAGATTGGCCAGGAGCCAGGTGTTTCTCAGATTGGCCAGGAGCCAGGTGTTTCGGATAGTGATGAAGATACGTTGTGGCTGGATCCACGCCAGCGTAGGCGCGACAAGCGTGCGCAGCAGAAAAGGAGACGTACCAGAGATTAAGCTGAGTCACTGGACCACACCCCACAGGCTATAAAAGGGAGGTGGTGGCCATTTGGACTCTGTGACGGACAAAGCTAAATCTCTGGCAAAGTAGTTTGCTGTGGACTTAATTTCAAACTGTGTGTATTGTTTTTTGTTCTCTGAGTAAAAGTCTTGGCAGGCAGTACGGAGCTGCTGCCAAGTTTTCTTATCTGTGGCGTGGAGTGTGGAGAAGTTATTTAACCCTCATCTGGCTGTTTGGGTGTGTGTGTCAGACGGGGACAGAACACAAGTTTCCTTAAATATTCCTTTTCGTATCTTTGCAGAATCTCTCCACTTCGCCTCTGGCGGAGCCCCCCCATTTCGTGGCCCACATCCGAGCTACTCTGCTCTACCTAAGAGAACATCCGTTCCCCGATAAGACTCTCTTCCCCACACAGAAACCTCGCCTCTACAAAAAAAATGCGGAGGGCTTGTGGGAGAGAGTCTCTGGCCAGATCTGACCCAAAGCAGAGGAACCAGGAGCACTCCGGAAGTGAAAATCAAGGAAGATGGTCAGAGACCTTCCCTATGACGTGCACATTCACCTTTGTGAGCCCCACAAAGACATCGGGGAAAACCAGCGTGTGGTTTTGCGCCCTCCCCCCAAATATCCCGTGTTTTCCAAAACAGCCAGCCAATTCGGTGCAAAATTAGGAAATCTTTACACATTTCATGGGGTTGGGTCCAAAGTTCTCAAGAACATAAAAATGGGCCTCCGTAGTATTACAAAGAAGGAGGTGGAACCTGATTGTTGGTACTCCCATCCTTGCTCTCTCAAGTTTTCTGGCTTTCGTCATTTCTTCAGGACCAGCCTCAAAGTAGCCATTCTGCTTGCTTCGTCAGAGCTAGGTCCTTGATAAAATATCAGCTGGAGAACCTTCCCATGCTGGAATGAAGCGGTGTGGTCCCTGTTCTAGAGTACAGATGGTCCGTTTCAAGGCCTGACCTGTTCCGGTGAGGTTGGAATGACCCAACATGAGGACGCTTCAGGTAGGGTTAGAACATGACCTTGACACAAGATGTTTCGGTGAAGACCTTCTGACCTAGACAATTTTGCTCCTCTCTGGAACTCTCTCAGTGTTGGGGGAGTTTTCATATGAAGCTAGACCTTGTTGGTGCCACATGAGAAGAAGCTGCTCCAGACTAATAATAGATATTTGTGTTGAGTCTCCGAGCAATAGCTAAAGAATGTTGACCATGACATTCTTCTTGGACTGAGGACCAAATGTATGCAAGCAAATATGTTGGGTGGGACTTGCCTACATACCTATCCTCTGATAGGGACTTTGGATCTTTGTGCAGCTCAACGTGTGTGTGTGTGTGTATGTGTGTGTGTGAGATTCTCCTCAATTCCTTTTTAAAGTTGATTTTTCTACCATGAATCTCCATAACTGGTCATTATTCCAGCAAGAAAACCACACGGCTTCAGGTACGACTTTCAAGGCACACGTCTGTATGGACAACATTCAAGTTTTTGTTCCGGCTTTTTCAGGCTGTATTTTTCTCCACTGTTCAGCTTCCTGTTCTGTCAGAAACTGGGAGAATCTAGCCTGAATCTCACCGTCGCTGTGTCTTGCAGCATCCAAGGTGGTGGGGTTTTCATTTAACCAGATCCATCAAACCGTTGAATGTAGCCAAAATAACATATATGACGATTAAAGGCAGTCTCCGCTTAAATCTTTTCCATTTGCTTAAACAAAAACAAAACCCATGTCTTTTATTATACCCATTTCTAAACAAGGATCCGACCATTTTATCAAATGTATTGCTTTTGTTAACTAAACCCAAAAGCTTTTCCAAACACCTCTGCATGTAATGAAACTTTTAAAACTGTTTAATGATTTAATCTGGTTTTCTTTTGAGGTATTTATGTGTCTCTGAAGTAGGTACGTTTCTTCTTCTTTGCTGATGTTCTACAATTTCTGGACAAGGCTGAACATCCCTCTGAGGTATTTGGGAATGTGCCAGACCTACGGAAGCTAATTATAGGGGAGCAGCCGTTGTAACTTCAGAACCTGGTTGTAAGTAGCTTTGAGGGGTCCATCATAACTTTGATTGATCACTAAGAGACTGGTTGTTGAGGACTACCTGCATGGCACTTTTAGCTATATTTTTTAGCTGGATTCACCTACAGTGCTTAATTGTAAAGTGATAAGGGGTGGCGATGGTGGTGACTAAGTGTAATTAACAATCTGGTTCAGTGAATAAAATACAATTCATTTAAGGGCAGTAGACCAATTAAAAACCTAGATTGGTTACTGACTTGCTCTTTCAAGTCTGATTTGGTTATGTAGCAGTAGGAAAACACAACTGGTGTTGTGGTTTTTCTGGCTGGGTTTTTGTGTCCTGCTCAGGGATCCATAGCCACAAGGCAAGTACAGTTTTAAAAACAAAGACAAAATGAACCATAAACAGAGAGCAAACCCTGCTCCCTTCCAACACTGATGATGTTACCTAGTTGGGTCATGAAACATCTCCAAGAAAACCAAGGTCCGAAAACACCACAATCTAGAAATTATCCAAATTTCTAGACCTTGATTCCATTTGCAGGGCTGTCTTTAACTTGTTCAATGTGAAGATACTTAAAACCACATATGGTTTATATCAGGGGTCTTCAAACTTGGCGTGCCTGGCTGAGGAATTCTGGGAGTTGAAGTCCACAAGTCATAAAAGGGCCAGGTTTGAAGACCCCTGATTTATACGATGTGTGAATCCAAGCCCTACCAGAAATAGCAACCTTCTGGATTAAATAATTAAAATTTTCTGATGTGTATATTCCCTACGTTTCTAGGATTTTGCTAGTTGGTTCTTTTAACCATCACAAACTCAAGATACAACAAGTTGAAGAACTTTTATTGAAGCATTTAGGAAGTATCTAAATTAGGACTGTATTCCAGCAAAACTGCCAGCTTGATATAAAACCTTTAAAATTTATATTAACAATTATAACTTTAACCTTTCCCCCCCTCATGAACCCAAGTTAATATAAATCATTGCACTAAATAAACAGTCAAAAGGAAGACAATTCAAATTTGCACTTTGGAAAAAAATCAACCCTTAATAGTTGGGAGTTAACTGTACATTTAACCAGCAATAATCCTCAATCAAGAAAGAACAAGCTTTTGTTAACCTTTAACAAACATTTTGGTCATTAAAGCCCATTGTTGCAGTACTCATGGAAGAGCTTCAATCAGTTCTAGCTGAGCATGAAGAAACTGGTTACCTAGAGTAAACTAGATATGTTGATCATTACCTCTCAACCTCCATAAATAATAATAAGCAAAGCTTGAACCCTTAATGCCCACTTGAGTGCAAAGGATAACAGATCCTCAAGTAAATTATTAAAAGAGAGAATATTCTAGCATTCGGTGTAAGATCTAGTTTGGTGAGATCTCCATAACTTATGTGAATCATGTCTGGATACTTGGGTTTTAAAGCAGAAAAATCTCCCAATTACGACTACGTGGGTCTGTTTTGGACTTTTTTTTGGGGGGGGGTTGAGGGAATGGCAATTTTTCTGCTTAGGATGACTTACAGTCTCAACACTGGACTATATTACCACCACCAACACCAACAAAATGATTTTGAGAATAACCACTCCTTAATTCATTACATGTGTTAGAGTGGGATCAACTTCTTCAATTGCTGAGAATAAAATTGTCCCTTAGCTTACACTAGCTTTATTAATTAATTAAATCTAAATGGATCTCTATTAAACGCCACAGTGTTCCCCAACTGTCACTGTCTCAGGATGTTGAATTTCATTTCCCCAAATTCTTGGGTTTCTGGATGGAAACAAGTCCAGTGAACCCAAATAGCAGCCGATTGGGGAAAACTGCGCTATAGGGAAACGCTGCTCAAAAAAATATTTTTTGTCTGTGTGAAACATCTACTTTAAATCAGAACAAGGGGTGAGCAGGGGAAGAGAGATCAAATTCAGCCAATTCTTTTAGGGAACGAAGTTGCTCTGTTTAACAGAGAAAGAGCTAAATCCGTCTCAGAAAATAAAAGGCGTCATTAATCACCTGGGTGAGGAATCAAGGCTTGAATATCTACTCTTAACTTTCAAAACCAAATCAGCTTAGTGTGTGTATTTCTTTTCCATAGTGCAGTACTGTATGATAAGCTAATTTCTCTGCATATTTACAATATTTAACAAACGCAACCAACCGATGAGAAAAGCTAGAACAGCAAGGGTGTGTGTGTGGGGGGGAGAAAAACCCTCACCAATATGCCACCAGTCTGGAGATAATGCCATCTGCTCAAAAAAGGCAGTGTGGAGCAGTAAGGATGGATCTCCCTTCAACGCAAACCTTTTGAAACTGGATTTTGGCCTGTGTGATTTTTTTCCTACTTCTTTTAACTGCCAGTTAAGTTTGGCTCGGGCAAGGAACGTCTCAAGCTACTTGAGCCAACTCTTAGGACCCTGTGAAATGGCAAAATCTTATTCTCCCTCTCTCTGTCCACCAACAGTGCTGGAAAAGGAGTGGACGGATGGTGTGTTGAGGCAAAAGATTTGGGGAACCCGAAAGCCACTTAAACCCCCCAAAGTAGCGCCATGTTTAACAGTAAAGGCAGCGAAACTTTGAAAAATATTTTAAACGCTTGTTAAATAAAAAATAGCCAGCAGCTGGTGGGGCTCCGCAAATTAGTTTAATCCCAGCACAGAGTGCAATCCTATTTAGAAAACCCCAGAAAAAGTCTGTGCAAAGCACCTTTTTAATTTTAATTTTTTTTTTAAATCGGGCATTTTCTGGGGACTCTTCTTCAGCTCCTAATTCTTGCATGTTCCCTGGTAAAGGAGGGAAAAAGTCCCACAGCCACCCAGATCCAACCTTGGCACTAAACGGGGGCGCAGGAGAAAACGAGAGGAATCGGAACCAAGCAGACAAGTCAAAAAGAAAGAAAGAAAGAGAGAAAGAGCAGCCTTCCACTAATTTTTGTGCAAAATCTCCAGCCAATCACACATGAATAGCAATAGTGTACTGACTACCGCTGGCAGAGTTCACATTTTAAACGCATCGTTCAGTTTTCTGCAGCGAAGTGCACTTTTTCCCCCTTCCCCGCCTCCCCTGCACAAAGTCTTAATGCGCAGATTCTTGATTTTTATCTAAGACTCTCTTTCTCCTCGGATGGCGAGGGGTCAATTCCCGAGGCTTGAGACTTGGTGCCTGGGGAAGCGTTCGAGGCTTCCTGGGTGAAAGGCGTCATGCCTTCGCTCGACGGCTCCGTGTTCTCCGGCTTGACGGGAGAAGCGGCGAATTCTCCTCTGTCTAAATCGGCAGCTTGGCTCACGGAACTGGTCTCGCTGACCCCATCCGAGTTCCTCCCGGCCCGTCTAAACAGTTTTTGACCTGGAAGGGAACATGAGGAACGAGGAAGGTTTGCTTCTGTTAGCCTTGTCTGCCTAAGACAGGGGTAGGCAACCGTGTCTCTTTTATGACTCGTGGACTTCAACTCCCAGAATCCCTGAGCCAGCATGAGGGAAACTTTGGCCCCCTCATGACTTGTGGACTTCAACTCCCAGAATCCCTGAGCCAGCATGGCTCAAGCTTGGAAACCTCTCCCTTTCCCCTCAGCGTGGCTGGCTCAGGAATTCTGGGAGTTGAAGTACCCGAGTCATAAAAGGGCCAAGTTTGAAAACCCCTGCTCTAAAGGTACAAACCAGTAGTTCCACTGGATGTAGAGTTGGTCTACAGCAGGGGTAGGCAACCGTGTCTCTTTTATGACTCGTGGACTTCAACTCCCAGAATCCCTGAGCCAGCATGGCTCAGCTTGGAAACCTCTCCCTTTCCCTTCAGCGTGGCTGGCTCAGGTTGAAGTCCACGAGTCCTAAAAGAGCCAAGGTTGCCTACCCTTGGCCTAAGAAGTACACCCAGAAGAATAGGTAGTTCTCGATTTATAGTGTGACCGTTCAAAGTTGCAACGGCACTGAAAAATGTGACCGACGACCGTTTGTTTTTTTTTACAGTTGCTGCCCTTGTAGCAACCCCACAATCATGGGATCGAAATCCAGAGGCTCGGCAACTGGCGTGTACTTAGGGCAGTTGCAGTGTCCGGGGTCATGGGATCACTTTTTTTGGTGACCCTCTGTCGAGCAAAGTCAACGGGGAAGCCAGATTTACTTAACAACCGGGTTACTAACTCCTCGACTGCTGTGATTTGATTAACAACTGTGACAAGAAAGGTCGTAAAATGGGGGGAAAACTCACTTAACAAATGTCTCACTTAACCACAGAAAATTCGGGCTCAATCATGGTCGTAAGTCGAAGGTTAGCTGTACTAGCTCTGTCTTGATTGTTAAGGTTACGTTAGCAGAATCTTGCAAGTCTAAAAGGACATTTCTTCCCCCACCCCACTTTATAGTAAAAAGAACTAGGGAGGGTCTTTTTTGAGATGTTTGCCACACCTCTTTCCTTCTCTGGGTCCAGCTGCCTCTTATCTGACTGTAGCTCTTCCTCCTGTCCCCCAAGGTCATTCACACATTCCCCCTCTTGTTTCACTGGGCTATGAATTTCTTCAGCCTTTACAAACTATGTTAGTTTACTGTTTTTACAGCCTGCTCAATAGCGAGGATTACCAAGGTAGATTTTGAAGAAAAACCATTGTTGATTTATTACTTTTTTTTTTAGAAGATTCCACGATATAGAACTTGGCTCTTGGTGACTACCTGAGCACATTCCTGTAGCGTGATTAGGTCCTTTTTTAAAAACAAAAAATAAAAATAAAATAAAACCGAAGATGAAGCCAACTTACCAGGAAACTTCTGTTTAGCACGGCTTGATGTGGGAGTGGGAGGCGGGGTGACCCCCGTGCCCTGGACTTTGGATGCATACGTTGTCTCTGTGGATTCTAAAGAACCTGGCAAAGAAAGGGGCACAAACACATCAGATCTGGAGAAATGCATCGTTCACGGCTGGCTGAGGAATTCTGGGAGTTGAAGTCCACTTATCTTAAAATGGCCCAGTCTGGAGGCCCCCTGATCTAGCCAAGCTCCAGACATCCTACTGTGGACAATGGTCAACCCTTATGTCCAAGCAATGGTGGGAAAACGAAAGGGAAAAAACCTGGATTTTGGCTAGGAACATCCTTCAAGTTGATGAACTGCAAAGCCTCCAGCATCTCCTCTTATCTCAGGATAATTAATCCTGGCTCAAGACCCAGCCAGTAAAATTCCATCTCACCTGCCGTTAGGTTGAACGTCTGTCCCTTTGCTGAGGCGTGAAATGGGGAAAACCAATTGAGGACAGAGCCCACCATAGGAATTTGTCGAAGCAAACCCTGGAAGGAACAGGAGAATCAAAAAAATGATATTTTGCCCAGCAAAATATCAAGAAGAGGTATGCCAGCAAGGAGAAGACTTCCCATAATCTGCTCACCTCTTCCAGGAGGCGTTCCTCGTTGGCTTTCTGCAACTGAACCTGGGCGTCTTGGATGCCTTTTCGAACCACCTCGGTCATGTTTTCCAAAAGCTGGTCAGAAAGAGAACCAGTTGAATCTGAGAAATGTCACTTGAGTTTCTAGGCTATATTTTAAGTATTTAAGGTTGAGGTATCCAATCTTCGCAACTTTTTGTGGACTTCAACTCCAAGTCCACTGACAATGTGCTAACTTGCGCGATGGCACGTCTGGGTTGCGAAACTGGACGCCTCGTGAAGTCACAGATTGCTGGGACTCGGGAGGAAGAGAAATGGAGGCATATTCTGCCCAGGTGATGTCAGGGTTCAACGTAGCACAACTACGGAGCACTTCCCGTCAAGTGGGTATGTTTAGAAAAGAAGGACTGGGGGTGACATGATAGGAGTGTTCCAATATCTCAGGGGCTGCCCCAAAGAAGAGGCAGTCAAGCTATTCTCCAAAGCAGCTGAAGGCAGGACAAGAAGCAACGGGTGGAAACTAACCAAAGAGAGAAGCAACCTAGAACTAAGGAGGAATTTCCTGATAGTTAGAACAATTAACCAGTGGAACGACTTGCCTCCAGAAGTTGTAAATGCTCCAACACTCGAGATTTTTAAGAAGAGATTGGGCTGCCATTTGTCTGAAATGGTAATAGGGTTTCCTGCTTGAGCAGGGGGTTGGACTAGAAGACCTCCAAGGTCCCTTCCAACTCTTTATTATTCTGTTATTCTGTTCCTCATTCATTGTGGCTCCCTAATGTGGCACTCTTCACAGCATACAAATGTGCAACAACACAGTGGATAAAAACAGCTGGGCTACAAGCGCTGCAATTAGGAGTAGCGGAGGCTATGGGGGGGGGATAGATATGACCTATGTTCTTGGAGCTTCCGTACACACCTTTGAATTTTCTTCAATTTCACGGCCAGTTGCTGCAATAGTTTCCACCAGCTCAGGGACATCTAGATCCTCGGTGACCATCCCGATATAAATGCAGTTCTTCTCTGCTCCAAATTCTGGCCCTGGAAGGAAGACCAGACTGTCAAGATTTGTACTCTGGTGGTCTCTTTCAAGCTGCTTTAAAATACAAATTGGGCTGAGTGTTTGATCAAAGATGGAAGGAAGGAAGGAAGGAAGCCGAGGCAGTAAGCGACTGCTTTGCTACGATATTCTTTTTTAAAACGTCATCAAAAGATCACCGGGGTGATTTGGCAAACGAGGTACGGAATTGTTATCGTGGACATAACATTGAATGCATGGAGAAAACCATGAAAGATTCCTTCTGGGCATTTTTGGCATGGCAACCCTGCTCACAATGCCAGGATCTTTCAAAAAATGAAACAAAGGAAGAAAAAAAAAGACCCCTTGATCAATATATACCAGGAAGAGAGATTAAATATATAAATGCACATTTTCTCTGTGGTGTGGCTACTGGAGGCAGGGCAGGGATTATTTTTTAGATTATTATTTTTAACCCAGCTTTATTGTTTTTATAAAAAACTCAAGGAGGAGAATATGCATACTACTTCTCCCTTCTATTTTCCCCACAACAACTCTGTGAGATGAGACTGGCCCAAAGCACCTGGCTGTCTTTCATGCCTAAAGTGGACTAGAACTCACTGTCTCCTGGTGATTGGCTTAAAGTCAGTCAGCTTGCTTTCATGTCTAAGGTGGGACTAGAACTCACCGTCTCCTGGTGATTGGCTCAAAGTCACCCAGCTTGCTTTCATATCTAAGGTGGGACTAGAACTCACCGTCTCCTGGTGATTGGCCTAAAGTCACCCAGCTTGCCTTCATGCCTAAGGTGGGACTAGAACTCACCGTCTCCTGGTGACTGGCTCAAAGTCATCCAGTTTGCTTTGATGCCTAAGGTGGGAGTAGATCTCTCAGCCTCCTGGTGGTAGGCCCAAAATTACCCAGCCGGTTTTCATGCTTAAGGTGGCACTAGAACTCACCGTCTCCTGGTGTTTGGCTCACCCAGCTTTCTTTCAGGCCTAAGGTAGGACTAGAACTCCCAGTCTCCTAGTGATTGGCCCAAAGTTACCCAGCCGGCTTTCATGCCTAAGGTGGACTATAATGTAAGGGCCATTCAGTTTCTAAACCAAGCTGACTAATGCAGAATCAGAATAGGAGCTGGAAGGGACCTTGGAGGTCTTCTAGTCCAGCCCCCTGCTCAAGCAGGAGACCCTATATCATCTTTCTGACATACACATACACATACACACATTTCATAGATAGCCAATTACCTAAAGAAAATAACAGGTCTGATTCCAGTTCGTTGAGCTTCTTCAAAAGGCAGATGTTTATCTTCTCCGCGTCTTTCTCCGACATCTCTTCATTTTGGCCCTTATACCTTTCAAAACCAAGTCAACAGGTTTAGTAAATGCTGATTTACTTCCATTCCTGTTCCACACTCCACACCCCCAATCCCTACTGATCTGTGGTCACATTACCAAACTAGGTAACATCATCAGTGCTATGAGGGAGTAGGGCTTGCTGTTATTTTTATATGCTAAGTGGCTTGCCCTGTTTCGGCAGATCACGCGTACCTGACCACCCCAAGGCCAGGCCAGCTAAAATCTTCCACATAGGACAAGCCGACGGTTCTCTTCACTTCCTGTTCGAATTCCTCTCTCAGCTGCAAAGTGCAGTTCAGAACGGGGACCTTCATTTTTAAGCAGTCCATCAACTGATCCACGTCTTGAACTTCAGTGCCTAAAACTGAAAAGATTCGACACGTTAGTGGGTCGTCTCCCTTTAGTAGAAGGACACCGTCTGCACGTCATCCTGCAACCCAAGCAAATACAGGTAATACAGCTAGTCCTCAACGTATAATCATTTAGTAACCACTGGAAGTTGCAACAGCAACTGAAAAATTGACCTGTGACCTTTTTTCACACAAGCACTGCAGCATTCCCCACGGTTACATGATCCAAATGTGGATTCTTGGCAACGGGCTCATGTTTATGACGGTTACAATGTCCCAGATGTTTGTAAAGAGATTTAAATCATACTAGTGATCCATTTGGTTGAGCTATTGGGTGTGATTGTTTTCCTTTAGCACCGTAAGTAAATAGAAGGAGTGAAGGAAAAGAGAGGGAGTGAGGAAGGAAGGAAAGGAAAGGAAAAGAAGAGGAAAGATGAGGAAGGGAAGGAAAGGGAAGGAAAGGAAAGGAAAGGAAAGGAAAGGAAAGGAAAGGAAAGGAAAGGAAAGGAAAGGAAAGGAAAGGAAAAGGAAAAGGAAAAGGAAAAGGAAAAGGAAAAGGAAAAGGAAAGACGAGGAAGGGAAGGGCCGACCTCAGGATGGAAGGCTGCGTCAACCTGGAGCCGGTCAGGATCGAACTGCTGGCAGTCGGCAGAATTAGCCTGCAATACTGCCTTCTAACCACTGCGCCACCACGGCTCTAATGACGCTATTTAAGGAAGCACATCATTTGTCACATACATGAAAATTGCCCATTGGATACAAAAGGGAGCCGGTTACCTGCAGAAGTCATTAAAGGGCTGAAACGCACGCAGGTGCCTTCGTCCTCCAGATCCACCAGATCCACCCCACTGGCAGGGACCAACTGAGCCAGTTGCTCTCCAAGCTAAAGAAATAAAAATAAAAGCAAGCAAGCAAGCCCAGGTCAAGGAAAATAACAGATCTCCCACTCACTGCACATAAATTACGAGCTGTCTTCTGGTCTGTGAACACTCCAAAATAGGCTTCTATTGTCTGCAAGCTGATTTTTGCATGCTCAAACTTGCTCTGAATTAAAGACGCCTGAAGCGGTGCCATAGCTGCCTACCCCTGCCCTAGAAGAATGCAATCAGAACATGGGCATCAGAAGAATAATAGAATAGAATAGAATAGAATAGAATAGAATAGAATAGAATAGAATAGAATAGAATAGAATAGAATAGAATAGAATAGGGAAAAAAGGGGGAAAGGGAATAGAATAGAATAGATAATGGAATAGAATAGAATAGAAAATGGAATAGAATAGAAAATGGAATGGAATAGAATAGAATAGAAATATAGAATGGAAATATAGAGTGGAGTGGAGTAGAGTAGAATAGAATATTGAGAATAGAATAGAATAGAATAGAATAGAATAGAATAGAATAGAATAGAATAGAATAGAATAGAATAGAATAGAAGTTCTCCTTAGTTCTAGGTGATAATCCACATAAGTCACTTTTCTTCAGAGCCACTGTAACTTTGAACTGTCACTAAAGGGAACTGTTGTAAGTCAAGGACTACCTGTACTGGGTTATTTTTCACCCCTGAAAAAAATCAGGATTTGAGTCCCAAACTACACACTGTTAAGAAATAACACTACCTACCCACTGGTTAAAGGTATCACAAATGTCTCCCTCATTCCCGGTGACCGCTGACAATTGCGCAGCTTGTAGCATCTGATCTGAATTCAAAAGAGAAAAAAGAGAAATGGATTTAGCAGGAAGAAATTAACACACCTTTTGAAATGTTTTTTTTTTCCCTCAGCAGCTAGAGTTTCTCAGAGTTATTTTTATGCACGTTAAGATAGCACCATTTAATTCTTTACAGATTTCAATGTACAAACACAGCACAGGTGCTCATTAAAATAATATTCCAATAATATTCTAGGCGATGGGTAGCAGACGAGCTTAATCAGTCAGTCAATAAATAAAATAATATGGGATATAAAAAGCATACAGCCCTGATTTTCCTGTAGATATCTGGCGTATTTTGCTCCTGTGAGCAGCGGATGTCATAATATCAAACAGTTCTTTTGTAGAACTTTTTAAAAGCAATTGCATAGGTAACAATTTGAAGATTTATCTTTAATAAACGTAAAAATACAGTATCTTAAATTATCCTTTTACAATCTGTATTTGGTGGGGTATTAGAAAACCAGAACCTAAAATTAGCAAGGTACAAAAGCTCTTTTCTCATAAAATGTCTGATTTTCTCACTTGCTGATGCTAAAACAAGCACCAGCATGAATGAGAATAGATTAACGACAAAACTATTGGCACAATTGCTATTTTTTCAACAAAATAAAGGTCTGTAGATCCTGAGGGGCCTTCCTTCTGCAAATCCTCACCTATATGTGACTTTTCTGGGGAAAACTTGAACACCACCACAGGAGAGCTAAATTCATCTTCGACCTGGAAAACAAAATTTGGGAAAATAAGGTGAAGTCTTAACATATTTAAATCAACTTTCCCCAACTGGACTATATATTTTTTTGGGGGGGGGGGGAAGAATAGGTTGAAAATAGAAACGTACTGAGGTTCGAATAAAATCTTGGTTCTTCAGGTTTTCCAGTAGCCGCTGACTCTAAAGAAACAAATGTATAAAAAATCAGGGAAGCTATTCCAAAGGTAAATGGGCATCAGGTTTGTGTACCTTTACATAAAACGTGAAGCGATGCATTCGAGTCAAACGGTGATACTGAGATACGCTAACATTTCAAACTCAAAATGCATAGTTTTGCATAGTTTTACTATTCTGTTGAGCGCTGTTTCTCAACCGTGGCAACTTGAAGATGGTGTGGACTTCAACTCCCAGAATTCCCAGCCAGGCCGTGGCTAATCACCACAGCCAACTCGTCGTGGACAATTTGCTGCGGGACAACCGGCCATGGAGAACTCAACACGGGGGACAAGAGTTACATTAATGTCAAGGAAATGGTGGAATAGAATCATTAAAAAAAGGATGCCAACGGAAGGACAAAATGAAATGTAAATGACAAAAATTAAAACTGTGTTTAAAATTATTTTAAATAATTAAATTGAATTGTTGAATTGTCCCGTAGCAAGTTTGTCCTAGGGGTGAGTTGGCCGTGGGGAGTAGTCCCATTCCGGGCTAGGGAATTCTGGGCATTGAAGTCCACACTGGCTGGCTGGGGAATTCTGGGCATTGAAGTCCACGCTGGCTGGCTGGGGAATTCTGGGAGTTGAAGTCCACACTGGCTGGCTGGGGAATTCTGGGCATTGAAGTCCACACTGGCTGGCTGGGGAATTCTGGGCATTGAAGTCCACACTGGCTGGCTGGGGAATTCTGGGAGTTGAAGTCCACACTGGCTGGCTGGGGAATTCTGGGCATTGAAGTCCACACTGGCTGGCTGGGGAATTCTGGGAGTTAAATGCCAGACATCTTCAAGTCACCAAGGTTGAGACCTTGCTTTTGACACTCTGTTTTCTCTCCCACTGCTGGCACCCATGGAAAAGAAGGAAACAAGTTTTTTGTGCCCATAAATCTGAGGGCCCGAGTCCTGTGAAGAAATCAAATCACATCCTGAGAAAGACCCCAAGCCCAAACCGATCGGCGTTCCTTACCAGCTGTGAGGCATGCTTAATTCTTTCCACGATCCCATCGTGGCCGAGGTACTGCAAGGACAGCCAGAGGGACAGGGCACGCAGTTTCTCTGCTACCTGGCTGGAGGTCAGGCCTGCTGCTAACGACTGCAAGAAACCCAATAAAGAGGTAAACGCCAGATGTATTATATTCCCTCTTGTTTCGTCTGGCTCTGCTCGTCTCAAAAGCCCAGCAAGAGATCATTAAAGGAGCAGGGAACTGAAGACAGAGACGCCCACCAGCTCAACGTATCTTCTCCTACTACTTCAGTCACTGAAACCTTAAAAGACTGGTCTTCTAGACCCCAAATTCATATTGGAAAGAGTATCAAAGAGGAAAAAAGCACTGATTTTGAAATCCCCCCCCTAATGTGAAGTCAACTGTGCAGGTAATAATAATATAGAGTAGAGTAGAGTAGAGTAGAGTAGAGTAGAGTAGAGTAGAGTAGAGTAGAATAGAGTAGAATAGAATATTGGAAATAGAATATTGGAAATAGAATAACAATAGAATAGAATAGAATAGAATAGAATAGAATAGAATAGAATAGAATAGAATAGAATAGAATAGAATAGAATAGAATAGAATAGAATAGAATATTGGAAATAGAATAAGAATAGAATAGAATAGAATAGAATAGAATAGAATAGAATATTGGAAATAGAATATTGGAAATAGAATATTGGAAATAGAATATTGGAAATAGAATAAGAATAGAATAGAATAGAACTGGAAGGGACCTTGGAGGTCTTCTAGTCCAGCCCCCTGCTCAAGCAGGAGAACCTACACCATCTCAGACAAGTGACTGTCTAGCCTCTTCTTAAAAATCTCCAGTGATGGGGCGCCCACGATTTCTGGGGGCAAGCTGTCCCACTGGTTGAGTGTCCTCACTGTCAGGAAGTTTCTCCTTAATTCCAGGTTGCTTCTCTCCTTGATCAGTTTCCAACCATTGTTTCTCATCCTGCCCTCTGGTGCTTTGGTGAACAACCTGGCCCCCCCTCTGCCTTGTGGCAGCCCCCCAGATACTGAACTTCAGAAGATCAAATCTCTGCCACTGGACTCCTTGAGTGGCAATCAACTACAATTCACTGCCGCCAATCATGAGCTGCCGAGAGCTTCAGGGCCCGCCTCCTTCTGCCACTGCATCGTGGGCCAACCGCTTACCAAAGAAGGATCCTCCTGTCGGTAAAGAGTCACTGCAGGCACTGCTGGAAGACCCAACCACGGTCCAAGCGTCAGTGTCATGCTGTCGCATTTGGTTGCTGCCTGCAAAAAAGGGGGTGGGGTTAGAGGATCAGAAATGCAGTTTTATTTTTTTCCCCATGCATCTAAAAAACAAGCGAAGGTTATCTCTAAGGAGACATGGCTGAGTCCAGAGAGGAGGCAAAGAACGATCCAAAATAACTCCCTTTCCCTTTATTTGAGAGAAAAGATTGATATACTTGGTTCAATCTGAAAAACATTCGCTTTTTGTCCAAACCCATCGCGGACGTTCTCCCTGTTTAAAGCTCGGTTCAACTGTGGAAGGTTTTACAGCATTTAAACAGAAACAATCTTAACTTCTGATTTATGGGTTAATTTTTGATGAAAACATAGCCAAGTCCTACATCTCCTTTCCAGAGGGGGAAAAATCCGTTCTGAGAATTTAAGAGTAATGAATAAGCAAAACGATTTGGGAGCATGGAAGAGCTCAAAGTTCAGAAATCGACTCTTTCCAGGTTATTTTTCATCTTAAAGTAGACGACAGTAGGAAGTAAATTAAATCATTTACAAACAGCGCCTTTCTGCTTTTGGGAAGAACATAAAGCGGTGCTTTTGGTTAAAGAGAAACACCAAATATGTCAGAACAAGAGCAAATGCACAACATACCAGTATGGAAGATGAGACGTAACCCAAAGCCAGAGTGGCTAAATTCACCCTGAAACAAACAAGCGAGCCCTTTTCAGTAGGTTGACCATAACACACATTTTAATTTATATTCAAATAAATTTGAAAATAGATAACATAAATAGGATTTATAATAGGGGGGGCAGTTCAGCCTATTGGTAAAGGCACCAATCTAGAAACAAGAAGTTCTAGTTCTGCCATAGGCGTGAAAGCCAGCTGGGTGACTTTGGACCAATCACCAGGTGACTGAGAGTTCTAGTCCTGCCTTTGGCATGGAAGCCAGCTGGGTGACTTTGGACCAATCACCAGGTGATTGAGAGTTCTAGTCCTGCTTTTGGCATGAAAGCCAGTTGGGTGACTTTGGACCAATCACCAGGCGATTGAGAGTTCTAGTCCCGCTTTTGGCATGAAAGCCAGCTGGGTGACTTTGGACCAATCACCAGGTGACTGAGAGTTCTAGTCCTGCCTTTGGCATGGAAGCCAGCTGGGTGACTTTGGACCAATCACCAGGTGACTGAGAGTTCTAGTCCTGCCTTTGGCATGGAAGCCAGCTGGGTGACTTTGGACCAATCACCAGGCGATTGAGAGTTCTAGTCCCACTTTTGGCATGAAAGCCAGCTGGGTGACTTTGGACCAATCACCAGGTGACTGAGAGTTCTAGTCCTGCCTTTGGCATGGAAGCCAGCTGGGTGACTTTGGACCAATCACCAGGTGATTGAGAGTCCTAGTTCTGCTTTTGGCATGGAAGCCAGCTGGGTGACTTTGGACCAATCACCAGGTGACTGAGAGTTCTAGTCCCGCCTTTGGCATGATGAAAGCCAGCTGGATAGCCCAATGGGCGAAGAGAGGTTTAGCATGGAGCTCTCTCTCCAGAACTCGGCATTCTAAGTAGCCTTTTTTAAACTATATCTGTGTTCAGCATATAAAGTAGAAGAAGGATCCAGCTGGCTGCAATCTGTCACTATTATAAATTGCTCCCATCAGGAGTGCCTTGCTCCATTCCCTTTTCTGTCCAGCACCGTGTATTATTCCGACAGCTGCAGCGATAACGTCCTCAATCTGCACGAACCCAGCGCTGGTCTGCCTACTAGGCGTGCCTCTCGCCTGGCCTTGATTGAACATGTCATATAAAACGGTTCTAAGAGTGACACCGTACCCTTCCACGTGGAGCCACATGCCGTGTTGCCGGCAGAGTTCCCGGAGTCGCCCGAGTTTGTCTGTGTGCCCTGCCCCTGGGGTGCCTGTATGGAAAGGAAACGGCAAAAGAGAGGCTAAGAAGACAGGATGGAAAGGATCACAGCGCTGTTGAGGTAGAGCTGAGCAACCAGGTGCTCTTCCAAGGTTTCGGATCACAGGCCCCATCACTCCCTCCCTTCCCCCCGGGGAGTTGTAAACCAGGACTTCTAGGAAACGTCCACTGGCTTTTCTCTGGCCTTCTAAATCAGGGCTTTTCAACCTTTTCACCCATTGTACCACTTTTAGGATATGGCAACATCCGAGTACCACCAGTCGCCTAGCAAGGTGTCAAAAACTTGAGGACCAAAAAAAAAAAAAAAGGAAAAAAGTGATAAAGTACAGATAGTCCTCGACTTACAACAGTTCGCTTAGTGACTGTTCGAAGTTACAATGGCACTGAAAAAAGTGCCCCCCAAGCCACAGCCAAGCAAGTCACCTGCCTGCCCGCCCGGCGGCACTCTTCCTCCTGTCCGAGGTTTCCATTGTTGTGAGCATTTCTGTTGAGGATTGGCAGTGGGGTGGGGTGGTGTTTGGTTTTTATTCCCCCCGGTCTGCTGTGTGGTTGCAGCAGGTTTTGGTCACTTCACATGACCTTGGGACACTGTGACCGTCATAAATATGAATCAGTTGCCAAGCATCTGAATGTACATCGCAAGACCCTGCAGATGCTGCAACATTCCAGCTGATCGGCGCTTCTTCTGGGCTCAGCAGAAGCACCAGGATCAGCGCTGAGCTCCAGCTGGAAACTGGCGCTGATCCTGGCACTTCCACTGAGCCCTGACAGCCCTGAAGAAGCACCGATCAGCTGGAAAGCGGCACTGATCCTGGCGCTTCCACTGAGCCCTGACAGCCCTGCATCTCCAGCCGTCTCTCGCTCAGGCTTGTGCGATGGTGCCACCGGTTCAGCTCATTCCCCTCCCCCGCTACCACTTTTCTAGGATGGTCGCATACCACCTGCCAGGTGCCAATGTACCACAGGTGGTACCCGTACCACTGGTTGAAAAGCCCTGTTCTAAATGTCTAGGGAGGTTCTCAATCATCCACGGTCGTCTCAAGGTGCTGGTTTGTTCCTTGAACAAGTTTCGCTTCTCAACCAAGCACCGCAGAAAAACAGCTTGTTTAAGTTTGCTAAAATCACCCACCGGCATTGGCCACCAGTAAGATAGGCAGCTTTCCAGATTCAAGATCCTCCTTAATCAGTCTGTCCAACAAAGCAACATCCTGTCACCAAGCAAAATTAAAAATAAATAAATAATAATAACAACAACATGAAGAAAGCATACAAATAGGCAACACCAGTATGACTATTTGGGTTTTTTTTTTAATATAAAACAAATCTCACCATTTGATGCTGGGAGCCAAACATGGTGTTACACGGCACTCGGCACATGCAGGAAAGAGGTAAGCCGAGCTGCAGAAAAGAGATACAAAATCCAGGTCAGTCCTTGTTTTACGGCCAGTCATTTAGTGACCGTTAAAAGTTACTACGGGCCCCGCCAAAGATATTGACTACATAATGGTTTTCTTTTGGGCCACAGTCAAAATTATGACTTACGGACAATTTTTGGGGGTCTCTGGCAGCTGTATTCCCAATGTTGGGACTATTGCAAAGTGGTTTAGTTTAAACTTTCTGCAACTGTCTGCATATCATCAAGTGCACTGACCATCTCCAACTCTATGGTTGTGGCCTGCCATGATTTTAAACTAAAACACTTCGCTCATAAGAGCATTGCAAGTACAAATGATTAAGAGAGTTAGTCTGCTCTAGTGGTTAAGGCACCAAGCTAGAAAGACTATGAGTTACAATCCCACCTTAGCCATGAAAGCCAACTGGGTGACTTTGGGTCAATCACCAGGAGACTGTGAGTTCTAGTCCCGCCTTAGCCATGAAAGCCAACTGGGTGACATTGGGCCAATCACCAGGAGACTGTGAGTTCTAGTCCCGCCTTAGCCATGAAAGCCAACTGGGTGATTTTGGGCTAATTGCCAGGAGATTGTGAGTTCTAGTCCCGCCTTAGCCATGAAAGCCAGCTGGGTGACTTTGGGCCAACTGCCAGGAGACTGTGAGTTCTAGTCCTGCCTTAGCCATGAAAGCCAGCTGGGTGACTTTGGGCCAACTGCCAGGAGACTGTGAGTTCTAGTCTTGCCTTAGCCATGAAAGCCAGCTGGGTGACTTTGGGCCAATTGCCAGGAGACTGTGAGTTCTAGTCCTGCCTTAGCCATGAAAGCCAGCTGGGTGACTTTGGGCCAATCACCAGGAGACTGTGAGTTCTAGTCCTGCTTTAGCCATGAAAGTCAACTGGGTGATATTGGGCCAATCACCAGGAGACTGTGAGTTCCAGTCCCGCCTTAGCCATGAAAGCCAACTGGGTGACTTTGGGCCAATCGCCAGGAGACTGTGAGTTCTAGTCCCGCCTTAGCCATGAAAGTCAACTGGGTAGCTTTCAACCAACCACTAGGAGAGCGTGAGTTCTAGTTCCGCTTTAGTCATGAAAGCAGCTTGGTGACCTTGGACCAGTCATTCTCTCTCAGCCCAACTCACCCCACCCCACAGGGTTGTTGTTGTGGGGAAAATAAGAGGAAGGAGGAGTATTAGATAAGAACGATGGGATATAAACCAATCAATCAAATTAACAAGAGGTTTACTGAATAATACGACGGGGCCAAAGGAGGAGGTAACAATGATTGGTACGCCAAAACATTTCCACCCCTTTCAACTTACCTGACTACAGAGGAATTGGCCCAAGCCAGTTCTTGCGGCAGCACTGATGTACACCACCGGCTGCTTGTTATATAAGGCATTAAACCCTTCGGTGGCATAATCGTCATAGCGGGAGTGAATCCCCAGCCTGCAGACTTTTAAAAGCCCTTCGCGATCATCTTCATGGTAATAGGCTGACCCATTTTCAAACCTGTTAAGAGCAAGGATGAATTAAACATGAGCATCCTGGAAAAAGGGGGCCAGCTTCCCATTAAAGGTAAGCAATTCTTCACAGCGTTATCTTAAGCGTGTCATTTTCACGGCTGAAAGAGACAGGAAAAAGGGTCTGTAAGAAGTGCAGAACGAGAGGCAGCCAGAGTTGATCTCCAACTGAATGCACTGTTTATTAACTGACAGTCAGAGGTGCAGTGGCTCAGTGGCCTAGAAGATCACACTGGAGATGGTCTCGGCTCCGGCGGTTCGAGTCCTAGCGCCGTGTGGCAGGGTGAGCTCCCGTCACTTGCCTCAGTTTTTCTCCACCTAACACAGGGGTCTTCAAACCTGGCCCTTTTATGACTTGTGGACTTCAACTCCCAGAATTCCTCAGCCAGGCACGCCTGGCTGAGGAATTCTGGGAGTTGAAGTCCGCAAGTCATAAAAGGGCCAAGTTTGAAGACCCCGGCCTAACAGTTTGAAAGCCTGTTCTATGCAAGTAGATCGATAGGTACCACTTTGGTGGGGAGGCGAGGTGGTGCTCTGTGCAGGCAGTCGGATTGCTGCCGGCTCTGAACCTTCCTGGTTTGCGGCGCCCGTTTTGGAGGCAGCTCCGGGAAGGGTGCCACTCATCTTTCTGATGTGAGGCCAGTTCAAACTCCCATGGTGCATCTTGGGAAGCGCACATGCATGCCTTATAACAGGGCTGGTACCTTGGCAAGCCAAACTGCTACTCTGCTATAGCATTGTGATCTCCTGGCTACTGTAACAATACCATAGGCCAGTGATGGCGAACCTTTTAGAGGCCAAGTGCCCCAAAACGGCACCCACCCCGCCCGCAAGGCCAACCACCACCTCCACGGCCCACCGCAGCCGATCACCCAGGCGGCTCTGCAGCACCATGGCAGCCATGCCCTCTACTTGCGCCCCGCAGCATCAGCAGCGTGCAACAGGGTGCGAGGGCAGAGTCTTGTCCCTGTTGCCTGGCTGCCATGTCCTTGGCTGCGCTGCTCCGCACGGGCCGCACCTGGGGGCGACTCTCCTCTGGGGGGCTGCTGGTGAGGGGGCCGCGGGGGGAGGTGGGTCTGAGGTGACAGTGCACGTGCCCACAGAGAGGGCTCTGAGTGCCCCCTCTGGCATGCGTGCCATGGGTTCGCCACAACTGCCATAGTCTAATAACAACAATAATACTGACAGTAAAAGCAGCCTTTTGTTTTCCTCATTCGTTTCTGGAGATTTAGATGAAATGCGACTTTCTTTCCTGTGTACTTCCGATAAAAGGGTACACTCCAAAGTATTAGTTAACACAAAGGTTACCTGAAGAGCCTACAAAGCCACAGAGTTGTATCCGAAAGGATCTTGGTAGTAAGTTTTCTCAGTCTGTCCCTGTCCAGGATGGAAATATACGCCGCCAAGCTGTGTCCTAAGAGAGCCATATGTCCCTGTTCCCCCACATTTTGAAGCCTGCAAACCACAAGAGAAAAAAACTGAGAATACGACACAAATCACACATTTGTAGCTGGAAAAAAAAGCCTTTCTTAATATATAGAAAAATGACCAGGGGTCATTTTATTGAATGTATTATAATTCAGCGGTATTCGTTCTCTGTCTGAAAGAGTGATCAGACAAGCTGGTGATGGCTTAAGACCAAGTTAAAATCCAATCCATTGTATGTTGTAGATTGGATTTTAACTTGCTTTTAAGCCACCATTGGCTTGATGGTTTCTTTCCTCTAAAGGATCATAGTCAAGTGATCATCCACTAGGACTCCAAGGTCCCTCTCTCAGTTGCTGTTTTTAAGTCAGGTCTCACCCAATCTATTTATAATAATAATAATAATAATAATGATAAAGTTGGAAGTGAGGCTCCTCCAGTGGACTATGCCTTGGCGCTTGCCCCGGTCCCACCCCCTTCTGCCAGAGACCCTCAGATCTGTCCCACTCCTGCCCAGGACCCCACAGGCACCCTTGACGTGAACGATGTAGAGCTGGCCACACCCACCCAGTAGGCCACACCCACTCCATCCACACCCACCCAGTAGGCCGCACCCACCCTGGCCACACACACCCCGAGGGCAACCGCAATGCTGATGCGGCCCTCAATGAAATTGAGTTTGACACCCCTGGCCTAGAATCATTACGTGTCCACAAATGCTATAACTCCAACCCCTCTTGAATTCTGTTGACTCTTTATCTAGCACCAATTTAGTGCTGACCCTTAATTGACTAGATTCTTGTGTACAGATTGAGCAATAAATCTTAAATAGAAGTTAAGGTCTGGTCCTGATTCTTTGTGCCCGACATCTTCAGCCCTATCCACAACCTTGAAAGGTCTCTATTTAACAAAGAGTTACCGATAAGACTGTAGTGATTCTTCTTCTTCATCCCCGTGCATTAGAGTCTGAACAAACTGGAGAATGCTCACCATGTCTTGTCCGCTGGAGGAAGGGAGACAAAACACAGATCCATCTTGGTCATGAGGCATGAGATGACTTTAAAGTACACACACTTAATGCAGACAGTCCTCGGTTTACAATCATTTGTTTAGCAGCCATCGAAAGTTACGATGGCTCTGAAAAAAGTGACTTACAACCAATCCCCACACTTACAACTGTTGGGTCCTTGTGGTCCCATGATGAAAATTCAGACACTTGGCAACCAGCATGTATATACGATGGTTGCAGCATCTCAAAGTCACAGGATCGCTATTTTGATAAGCAAAGTCAACAGAGAGAGCTGTTTTTTGCTTAATGGCCCCGTGATTCACTTAACAACCAGTGGTTTGCTTAACGACCGCAGCAAGTCGAAGTCCACCCGTCTTATAGTTGCTAAGGACCCTTTTATGAGGGAGATGGGCGGCTAAGAAGTTTGATATAGAAACAAAATAAAGTTAAAAAAAGACTGAGAAACACTGATTTAGACTGTTGCATTGAGCATGAAATTGGAGTCAGTTGCCTAAATGGCCTCTTCCGGTTTACACAAATCAACGATCCATTTGCCCCAACGTTGGCAACAATCACACATCACCTTTATGACAGTTATTGTGGTTATCAGTTACCAACATCACACAATTTGGCAAATGAATTCAGATTATTTTCATTCCCCAGCTCCAATTCCCAAAAATCAAAATAGCCAGATTATTAGCAGGGGGAAAAAAACCCCATATAAACAGAGAGGGGAAACTCCTAATTCAAGATCACTTACCTGCCTTGAAGTGGCCCAGGAATATCCTTCCTTGTGTAGTTCTTTTCATTTTCTTCTTCTGCTTTCCTAATTTTAACACAAAACAGCAAGATAGGCAAGAAAATCTTTAGATGAGTAAGGAAATATCTGTAATATGCCATTGGCTGTTTAAAATTTATTTTAGCGTGACTGCTTAGCTGTGGTGATGTAACTTTCCACAAGTAGAAAAACACGATTCCTCTGTTCCTTTCGGTCAACTGTCACATTAAAAAAAAAACAAAAAACCACAGGGCTCTAATTAATGTCTCCTACCTATCCATCTCCACCTTTAATTGCACCTTTATAGAGGTATTTAGAGGTTGGGGAGACAGCTCAGCTGCCCCTCAATACACTGTAGTGTATTATCAATAAACTCAATAAATAATAACGAACTCTAGTTTATTATGGTCTTTTGGCTTTTAGCCTTGGGTTAAATGAGTCCTGCACAATCAGAAACAGGGTGCTGTTTGGATATGTCAGACAAGTATTTGCTGTTAGTTGCGAAGTCGTGTCCGACCCATCGCGACCCCATGGACAACGTTCCTCCAGGCCTTCCTGTCCTCTGCCATCTTCTGGAGTCCATTGAAGCTCACGCCTCCTGCTTCAGTGACTCCATCCAGCCACCTCCTTCTCTGTCGTCCCCTTCTTCTCTTGCCCTCCATCTTTCCCAGCATGAGGCTCTTCTCCAGTGAGTCCTTCCTTCTCATTAGGTGGCCAAAGGACTTGAGTTTCAACTTCAGGATCTGGCCTTCTAAAGAGCAGTCGGGGTTGATCTCCTCTAGGACTGACAGGTTTGATGGCCTTGTGGTCCAGGGGACTCACAGGAGTCTTCTCCAGCACCAGAGTTCAAAGGCCTCAATTATTTGTCGCTCAGCCTTTCTTATGGTCCAAGTATATATTTCCCCCAAACAGGACCTTCAAGCACAATTATTAGCAGCCATCCTCTTGAGTTCTGCCAAGCCAAGATTATTAAATACCTTTGACTATCTTCAAGCAGCTTCATGGCCTCGCTGAGATTCTTTCCCATTTCTGCTAAGGTAGGGTCAACCATCTGTTATTTAGAAAGAAAAGATGAAAAAAACACACACCAATAAGTCAATTATGTGGTCAAGTTCTAATTCTTCTCACGTCCCCCCAACCTCATAAACCATAGAAAGCAGCTATAATAGCTTCACTTAAGCCATTTCTGGACTCCTGCCCACATGGGCTGGATATCACAATCCGCGGTGGGCATAGTGCTAGCAATGATAGCAATAGCCCTTAGACTTATATACCGTTTCATAGTGCTTTACAGCCCTCTCTAAGCGGTTTACAGAGTCAGCCTATCCTCCCCCCCCCAGCAATCTGGGTCCTCATTTTACTGACCTCAGAAGGATGGAAGGCTGAGTCTACCTTGAGCCGGTCAGGATAGGAAGGAAGGAAGGAAGGAAGGAAGGAAGGAAGGAAGGAAGGAAGGAAGGAAGGAAGGAAGGAAGGAAGGAAGGAAGGANAGGGAGGGAGGGAGGGAGGACAATAGCAATAGCACTTAGACTTATATACCATTTCACAGCACTTTACATCCCTCTCTAAGCGGTTTACAGAGTCAGCCTGTTGCCCCCAACAATCTGGGTCCTCATTTTACCATCCTCAGAAGGATGGAAGGCTGAGTCAACCTCAAGCCCATCAGGATCGAACTGCTGGCAATTGGCAGAGTCAGCCTGCAATACTGCATTCTAACCACTGCACCACCACGGCTCATGATGGGAAGCCAGGAAGTTTCTCCTCAATTCCAGGTTGCTTCTCTCTTTGATCAGCTCCCAACCATTGTTTCTTGTCCTGCCCTCTGGTGCTTTGAAGAATAACGTGACCCCCTCTGCCTTGTGGCAGCCCCTCAAATACTGGAACACAGCTATCCTGTCTCCCCTATTTCTTCTTTTCTTTAGACCAGCCAAACCCAAGTCCCGCAGCCGTTCTTCTTCGTATGTTTTAGTCTCCAGGCCTTCGATCATCTTAGTTGCTCTTCTCTGAAATTTTTCCCCAACTCTCAACATTGAGAGGTTGAGTAGAAATCGACTTCAACAAATGGTTATCTCCCGCTTGATTGAAGTCTCCTGCTTGAGCTGGGGGTTGGACTAGAAGACCTCCAAGGTCCCTTCCAACTCTGTTCTTCTGTTATTTGAGCCCCTCCCTATATCTTTTTTCCCTCCTAGGCGTACCTTGTAATGTTTTTTTTAAATATACTTTGGAGCTGAAGGTCTGATCCACCTTTAAAATAAAAAAAACAAAGGATCAAAGAGCTGGTGGCATCTCATAGCTGCATCAACAGCGCTGGGCTGCAGATGTTACTAGAAATTCTATTCCCAATGGGAGTCTGTAAGCATTTGTTTTCAATGTTTATCAAACACAGGAAGAGAGATTCCTGCTGGTGTTTGGTTAAAGTCTCCCAGTTTAAGTGAGTCCCTTCTATATAAATTAATGTTAATTTCTTTTCTTGAAAGACCGTTAGGCTAATCATGGTATAATATTCCTGGCGTGCTGCTTCAGTAATAAGCTTACTTCATTCTTTCACCTGCTACAGGAGAATATTTTTTTAATCTCACTTAATATGACTTGGCAAAGGCCTACCTGTTCTTTGCAAGCCATTATAAAGGAAGTCAAGATGGCAAATCATGATTTATTAAAAGAGGTGTTGCAAAGATTTTTAAACAAACCTGTGCTAAATTCTTATCCACCTGATAAAAACGGAGAAGTCATTATTGCAAAAATCACACAAAACACGTCACGAGTAAGGGGGGGAATGCCAAGGTATGACAAATAAACCAAGTATAATTTGTGTCGTTTTGTTGGGACGTGGCAAATAAAGGGGGGGGATCTGCCTTTTTCTAAGAAACCACTGGATAATTTGAGAATTCTGTCATTGCTTTTTAATATTTAAAAAGTCAATTTGCTCATGTTGTTCTACATTTCCATTTTTGTATGTCAGATTTCCATCAAAAATACTTTGGACAGGTCCATCAAAAAGGGAATTCACAAGTTCACTAGCTCTCACTCTAATTAATCTAATTAATCAAACCCACTGGGAGTGCCAGTTGGGCAAGACAAGTCCCAACTGTCTTGGGCAGGACCATGACATGGATGAAAGTATAGGTCAGGGGTAGGCAACCTTGGCTCTTTTAGGACTCGTGGACTTCAACTCCCAGAATTCCTGAGCCATCCACGCTGAGGGGAAAGGGAGAGGTTTCCAAGCTGAGCCATGCTGTCTCAGGAATTCTGGGAGTTGAAGTCCACCAGTCATAAAAGAGCCAAGGTTGCCTACCCCTGGTATAGATAGTCCTTGACTATCTCCAACCACAATGGAGCCTAAGATTTTACGACCTTTCTTGCCACAGTGGTTAAGTGAATCACTGCATTGTTAAGCGAGCAACACGTTGTGAAGTGAATCTGGCTTCCCCCATTGACTTGGCTTGTCAGAAGGCTGCAAAAGGGGACCACGTGATCCCGGGACACTGCGACCGTCATAAACATGAGTCAGTTGCGAAGAATCTGAATTTTGACCACGTGACCCTGGGGACAGAGGCTGCAACAGTCATGTCAAAAATGGTCATCCATCCCTTTTTTCAGTGCTGTTGTAACTCTGAGCAGTCACTAAACGGACTGTCGTTAAGTAGGACTATCTGTACCAGGCACAACACCACACCTGGGCCTTGGATCCTGAGAAAAGCATCCTTGTTCATCAATACTGTGAGCCTTGTGGCTTTCCATCCGTCAAGGAAGCAGAGCCAAAGCATCACAATGTCTATCAAATATTGTGTCGCTTTTTCCACCATCGGCTTCTCACACACACTGGACCCCTCCAGCAGCAAAGCAAAGTTTTGCTCACAACCACACCGACCAAGAAGGGCACCACCAGAGGAAGTAAAAAGCCCGTGCTGACATGTCATTGAACCCATCAGAAAGAACTTTGGACTCTATTAAATGTGAACAAACTGGTTTGAAATCCTGATTCCGGAACCGCGAGCAAACACACGGCATGCTTTTCCTTATTCTGTCAGGACCTTTTATTTTATGGAATAAAAAGACAGTTGCTTTGGCTTTTAAAGGTTGTTTCCATGCCTTTTGCATGAAAGACACTAAACTTAACTGAGACTTCAGCTCGGAAAATAATCTCACAATATCAAGTGGCATCCAATGAAATACCCGACAGAGCAATTTTCACATGATTTATCAGATCCTCCTAACATATTCCAGTTCCTTCAGAACTGAGAACTGAGGTCAAACTTCTTCCATTCATTGGACCATGTGCTTCCTATCTTATTCATAGGAGCATGAAAATAGCTCAGAAAGCTTTTGACACATCGAAAAAAACCCTGAATAAATTGCTCTAAGATTCGTAACATGACATCTCTCAATTGTAGTCATGTGAAAAGGTGAAGAGATGCTTAAGCATTCAACAGTATCAGATCAAACTACAATTCCTCTTCCTTGTGCTAGTTACTTATCATTAAGCTCAGGAACATTAATGTCTTCCCTATCAATAAAGCCATGGTTTTCCCAGTTGCAATGTATGACTGTGAAAGTTGGACCATAAGAAAGGCTGAGCACCAAAGAATTGAGGCCTTTGAACTATGGTGCTGGAGAAGACTCCTGCGAGTCCCCTGGACTGCCAGGCGATCGAACCGGTCTGTCCTAGAGGAGATCAACCCTGACTGCTCTTTAGAAGGCCAGATCCTGAAGTTGAAACTCAAGTACTTTGGCCACGTAATGAGAAGGAAGGACTCACTGGAGAAGGGCCTAATGCTGGGAAAGATTGAGGGCAAGAGAAGAAGGGGACGACAGAGAAGGAGGTGGCTGGATGGAGTCACTGAAGCAGGAGGCATGAGCTTCAATGGACTCCAGAAGATGGTAGAGGACAGGAAGGCCTGGAGGAACGTTGTCCATGGGGTCACGATGGGTCGGACACAACTTCGCAACTAACAACAAGAAATCAATAAATTTTGTGTGATTCTCTAGCCAATTTTAGAACTTCACATTAGCATCCTTGAATTAAAATAAGGTGGCTGAAGGTTTACATCTTTATTCAGTTCTGCATTCAAAGCATGAATGACTAAAGATCAATTCATTCAAAATATTTTTTGTGGTCCCAAATCCTCACAAAATTTAGCTCCCGTAAACTGGAAGAGCATGTATTTATTTTTATCTTCACTTTTTTTATATAAATAACTCAAGGTGGTGAATATACCTAATTAATACTCCTTCCTCTTCCTATTTTTTCCACAAAAATCTTGTGGGTTGGGCTGAGAGAGGGAGGGAGGGAGGGAGTGGCCCAAAGTCACCCATGTAAGTGTCTGTAACTTGTGCTTTCAAAATTTGGGTAACTGATATCCTTGCGATTAGTGATCTCAGCACCAAAGTCTGAATCTAGAGCTTACATAGGAATCCATTCTCAAAAGATTAACAGAAAGCAAAAGTGACCGACTTTCTCTTCCACTGCTGGAGTTATACCCATTTCAGGCAAGACTGCAAGTGACTTTATCAAACAAACGGAGAGATTTATATACAGTTACATACTTGTCCACATTTACCATATAAATGGCATTGGATGTGTACAGGAAAGCGTGCCAAGAAAAAAAGATTTAATCTATTGAAAACTGATTGCCACAGATTTGACAGAAGCCTGCTTGTTAGTATAAATTAAAACCAAACACCAACTCCAAATATATGATTTGCATATATCAGTTTTTCCCATAATTGGAGCAGTTCAGAGAATTCAGAACTGCAGTTTCAGGACACTTGAAAGGCCCAGAATTAAGGAATCTAGGTCTCCCCACTCCTAGCCCACCACCTTCCCCAGTACGCCTGCGGACTTTGGGCCAAAGTCAGCCAATGACCTTATGGGGCAAGGGGAGACTAATCTCTGGGTCTCCCCACTCCTAGCCCAGCTCCTTCCCCATTGAGCCACCCTACTGGCTCTCTCTAAACACAGATGCAGTGATGTAAGTAGAAGTACATCATGTAATGAACAGAATCCATTTAATGTATTAATTGGCCATGAATGAAGTTAGGAGTGTAACAAATAGGTGCCTAAATACATCTGCACATATACATGGATCTATGTGCACACACATAAACACATTTGTGTTTGTGCAACATATATAATATATACAATATATATAATAAAATTAATGCACATCTATATGTATTATTAATGTACACAAAGATGTATATAAATACACAACACACACACATACACACACACATATATAATATTAAGGCAATATACATGTGCACCCACACATATATTAAGGCAATATACACATGCAGATATATACATACATACACACACACACACACACATTAAGGCAATATACACACACACATATAATATTAAGGCAATACACACACATATATACATATAAAGGCAACACACACACATATATATATTAAGGCAATACACATGTGCACACCCATATATATTAAGGCAATATACACACGTAAATTGCCTTAATATATATATGCAGGAAGTTTTTCAGACAGACCGGTCTGATTGAGTACACCTTGACATTTTTAACTGCTATATGCAGTATATATATATGTGTGTGTAGGTCTTTGGTTATTCGGGTTTTCTCCCACGTACAATTGGAAGTGTCTTGGCCAAGACACTTCCAATTTTACGCGGGAGAAAACCCAAATAACCAAAGACCTACATACTAACACCCGTGAAAACCTCAGAAAACATATATATATGTATTATATATACACACACATACACATACATACACACACATATACATACACACACACACATATATATTATTAAAGCAATATACATACACATATATAATATTAAGGCAATACACGCACCCATATATAATATTAAGGCAATATACACGAACGCATATAGTATTAAGGCAATACACACACACACACACACACACACAATTTTATATGCAAAGACCCCTAGAGTCACGCAAGTGTGATGGGCAGCACAGAAATGTGATAAACACGTAAATAAATCCGTATATTTTAAATGCACAAACGAAGGTATCATTAATGATTCATGCACCCACAACACACACCCACACCGACGGCTATCACGTCTACCCACACCCCTACAGCCTACCTATACATACCCCTATTATTTATGAATGCACAACTCATCGCTGCTGCATCGGCCAGCACCCGATCCTCTCCAGGATGCCCATGTTTTGATCGGCGATGAACAGGATCGCACAACGGAGCGGGCATCGCTTCGCATCTCCCCCCCCTCCCCCCATTTGGGCTCATATTGCGCCCCCCCTCCCTTGATCAGCGCCCCCTCCCCCACCCAGAGACCCCCCTCCCCCCGGGGAATCCCTTGCGGGGCGCCCACCTTCTCCAGGGAGCCCTCCATGGCCGCGGGTGCTCCGGCGGCGGCGGCGCCCAAGGTCTCCGGCTCCTCCGCCCGGCTACTTCCGCCTTGGACGCGGCCTCGGCCGGCTCCACGTCGGCAGCCGCGCTGACGGAGCGGCGAGAGGGCGTGGCCGAGGAACCAGGCCCCAGAGCCGCTTCGGCTTCCGTAGCGCGCCGGATTGACAGGAGGCGCGCCGGGTGTGGGCGGGGCTAGAGCGGGGGACGTACCAAACAAAACACACACACACACACACACACACAAGAAAAGGAAGAAAGAATAAGCTCCAAGAGGGGGGAGGGAAAATAACGCCAAGTTTTTTATAGTGAAAAAAAAATCTTGGAGAATTGCCACTGGGAGATTTTAATGCTTTGGCAGAATCTCCTCCTTCTCCTCCTCCTCCCTTGGCGAATGGAACGTTCCTCATGGGGGTTTGAGGGAAGAGATGACGTCTTCCCCCGAGGGAGCATGCGCGAGGGAGGATGCGACTCCAGGGTCCAAGCGGGTTTGGTTTGAGCTTAGTGAGAGCTGAGCAGCTGCCGGGGTCGGGAGGGCTCCGTCCGTGCGGGCGATGTGGCCCAGAATGGAGGCTGCACGGGGTGGGATTTAGGCCTAGTTGCTTGCAATTGGCTTGGACCAGGGGGTCTTCAAACTTGCTCCTTGCATGACTTGTGGACTTCAACTCCCAGAATTCCTCAGCCAGGCACGCCTGGCTGAGGAATTCTGGGAGTTCAAGTCCACAAGTCATGAAAGGGCCAAGGTTGAAGACCCCTGACCTATGGTATCCAGAGACTTTCCGGGGTTCCAATGGACCCAAATATTGTTCCCCCCCACCAACCAGGGCAGGAAGCCTGGAACCCCTTCTGGGCCAGGGCCGGGGGCAATTAATTAATCAGTGGAACGGCTTGCCTCCAGAAGCTGTGGATGCTCCAACACTGGAAGTTTTAAAGAAGAAATTGGACAACCATTTGTCTGAAATGGTATAGGCCAGTGGTGGCGAACCTATGGCACGGGTGCCAGAGGCGGCACTCAGAGCCCTCTCTGTGGGCACGCGCGCCGTCGCCCCAGTCCTAGGCCTTCAGCTGGGTTTTATAAAACCTTTTCGCTTTAGGCCTCTGCCGCCATGTGCAAAAAAAAAAAAAAAGGTTCAATCAGTCAATTTCAGCTTCTCGCTGGGAAAAAAAAAGATCTTGCAAAGTTGGAATTGATTGAACTTTTTAGTCCCACCCAGTCTGCCATTACCACCGTAGCCACGCCCACCCAATGGGCCACACCCACTCAATTGGCAACACCCAGCCAATGGGCCACACCCACCCGGCACTCAACTATGCATAAGTGGGTTTTGGGTTGCAGTTTGGGGTACTCAGTCGCTAAAAGGTTCGCCATCACTGGTATAGGGTTTCCTGCCTGAGCAGAGGGTTGGACTGGAGGACCTCCAAGGTCCCTTCCAGATTCTATTCCTATTCCTTTCCATTCTGTTCCTATTCTATCCTATTCTAATTCTATCCTATTCTAATTCTATCCTATCCTATCCTATCCTATCCTATCCTATCCTTATTCTATTCTATTCTATTCTATTCTATTCTATTCTATTCACTCTGCTCTGTTATTCTGTAATTCTTTAATTCTGCATTTTCCCCCCCATTCTGAGCTTGACTGTTCTCCAAAAATGCTAAGCGGGTACAGCCATGGTCAGCTCTTAAGTGGGTAATGACTAACTCCGGGAAGTTGGCAAATAAATTCCGTACGAAGGTAACGGCAAACCATTTTCATATGGTTGCCAGGAAACTGTACGAATGTGTCTGAAACGGTAATGGGGTTTCCTGCCTGACCAGGTGTGTGTGTGTGTGTGGGGGGGGGGTTAGACTAGAAGACCTCCGAGGTCCCTTCCAACTCTTGCTATTCTATTCCACTCCCTTCTGGCGACTCCGGGGGCTGCGGGCTGTTTCCAGGCAAGGGAGGCAGCGCCGACGACCCGCCTGGAGGGAGTGGCGTGTGTGCGCGGCTCGTGGGGACGGGGGCGGCGGGGAAGGCTTTTGGGCGCAGGTGCGG